CTCTCTCTCTCTCTCTCTCTCTCTCTCTCTCTCTCTCTCTCTCTCTCTCTCTCTCTGTGTGTGTGTGTGTGTGTGTGTGTGTGTGTGCTCGTGCACCACATGTACACTGCCCATGGAGTCCAGAAGAGGGTGTTGGATCCCAGAACTGGATGATTGTGAACCACTATGTGAGTGCTAGGAACAAAAGCTCAGTCTGCTATGGGAGCACAGAGTACTCTTAACCACTGAGCCTCTCCTCCAGACCTGTACTTAGCATTTGATCCCTGCTGTCTTTCGGCAGATGGAGTCAGCTATTCCTCTTCCTGAAGTCTGTTAAAGCTAAGGAAGGTGTGGTAGAAATGTTTATTCAGTCTGCTTGATTTTTCACAGAGGGGATTAGTATATTCCGTGGTAGGGAAAAGTGGAGTCACATGGTCTTTGTCTTGTCTTAGGTCTGTATTTATCATAGGAGATGACTTTTTTTTTTTTAAAGATTTATTTATTTATTTTATTTATGAGTACACTGTAGCTGTCTTCAGACATCCCATAAGAGGGCATCCAATCTCATTACGGATGGTTGTGAGCCACCATGTGGTTGCTGGAATTTGAACTCAGGACCTCTGGAAGAGCAGTCAGTGCTCTTAACCGCTGAGCCATCTCTCCAGCCCTGGAGATGACTTTAAGATAATTATATTATCTATCTTGTAGGAGTTGAATTTGGTAATATTTATTCAGTGGTTATGAGTTTTGTTCCTAAAGATCTTTTGGGAAATATTCTCATATTCTTCCCTAATTTTCTCCCCTAGGGAATAATAACTCGAAGTTTTCTTTGGACCGTACACCAGGTGGAAATCAAGGCGGTGGAGATGAAGATGTTCAGTTCCGACCATTTTTTGCGTGTTCTCCCACAGCACCTGAACCCATTAACAACTTCTTTAGTTTTGCATCTCAAAGCCATGAAGCAGAGCAGCAAGTCTGCAGCAGGGCCTTTAAAGCAAAAAGAATTTAGCAGAGTTTCCATTTCTGCATCCCTGAGTTCTCTTCACATTTTGACCTTAGAAGAAGTTGGCTTGCAGTAGGGTGTGTGGTTTCCTGTTTGGTTTCTTCTGTTTGCTTAGGGCATGGGCATTTCATGAATCTCAGTCTCTATGTTTGACATTGCTCACACAGTCAGACTGTTGCACAGATCCTGTTTCAGACCAATCTGTGTTCATGCTCATGTAAACACCAGTGTTACATTTACATGGAGCTTTGGATTCATTCTAGCACGTATATGTTAAGTGTGTGCATTGATTTTTCTCTGCTAGTATATTTCTGTAAAAATTATGGTCTTGGAAAATGATGGTCTTGGAAAATGGTGGCTTGCTATTACCATGTATTTTACAGTCATGTATTTTCATTTGTGTTACTTTGTTTTGGAGGTGTGCTTATGCCAGTAAGTGAAAGTGCAATTTGATGCATATGTGTTGTTTCTATTTAAAAATAATTTATACTGATAAAGTTATTTGTTGATTTCATTGGTATTCGTTTTAAAATAAAACTGCTTCTTTACCTTTTTAACAGTTGTTGATGTGCTTATTTGGGGGAATGCATATATTTTTATTTTTAATTATGTGTATCCCTGGGTATGTGCACAAGAATTTGAAGACTTTTGTCTCTACTGTTCTTATCACCTAATCTAAAATACTAAGTAAAGGCCATCTTTATTGAACTGCACAGCAAATACAGTTAATGAGGACCAAAGTGGTGGTGATGTACAACTTAGCACTCAACAGAGGCCAACAGAGGCCAGCCTAGTCTACAGAGTTGAGTTTCAGGACAGCCAGGGCTACGCAGAGAAACTCTGTCTCATAAAAACTAAATCTGTCTTAATCTTTTATGCAAATCTCATAAGGGAGAAAATTGTTTTTCTGGCCTTGCTGACAGAACATCGTTAAGGCTGTGAATTCAGGTGAGCCAGTAGTTGCACTGGACTGAAGTCTGAAGTGTAGTAAGACTGATTACAGTGCTTTCTTGGGTCAGTCAGTTCTGAACAGGTTGAATACAAAGTACAAGTAGAGTGGTTCCTAGTTATAAATGACCTCAAAGCACGTTAATATGGTTACAAATTGGGTGAAAGTTAGATTTGTGAGGGTCAACTTTAAACAGAGCTTCTCAACCCACTCCTATACTAGTGGCTACTGACTATAAAAAGGTATATTAATGATTTAAGACAGTTTTTCTTTATTAAGTACTATTTCTGACTTATAAAGTAATTGTGCCCAATTAGTGCATTCAATCAGTGCCCATTAGAGGGCAAACAGGATCTGGATTCCAAGTGTTTCCCCTGCATGTACACTAGTGTGAGACTGAGTTAACCTTTCAAGGCTTTGTTTTTGTAGAGATGTAGAGAGGGTTTTTGGGGGGTGGGGTACTGGCCTGAGCTTCCTATGTAGATGGTCAGTGAATTTCACGAGATAAGGAAAGTTGGTATTTCTAGAGGTTGGGGGGGTGGGGCAAGTAGTTGTAGGTCTTCAAGGTGGCATCAAAGGTAGCCTTGGCCAAGTTGCCCATGGTGGCAAGTGCAGCCCCTGGCTGATGGCTAGCAGTTATCAATACTGGGCAGCCATCAGCAGCAGCTTCTTGGCAGGATCAAAGACAATGCCAGTGTCTCTGGGAGCAGGGATAAGATGCACCAACAGCGAGCCACAGTGGCCTGTCATCGTGCATGGTACAGTGTAGGGCTTGCCAATCTTGTTTTCCTAGTTGCCTTTCTGCACGGCAGAAGGCTCTGTTGAGATGATTGTTCCTCAATGGCAGTGCCTACCTTCCTGAAGCACTCAACACCAAGACCAGTAAGTGAAAATACACATTTTATGGTTAATAAAATACATTTTAGATTGTAGTATAAAATAAAAAAAATTCCTTCTGTGAGATTTTTTTTCAATTTTGTTGGAAAAACATGAGGAAATAGGTACCTTGAACAGTTTGAAATATAAGCAGGGTAAAATTGAAACAAAAATCTAATTATAACTGTCAGAAACTTTTTCTAAAAGTTGTTCAAGAGTTTTTAATTTGCATGGCATGTTTTTATTTTTTATGATTTCTTTTATCTTACATGCATTAGTGTTTTTCCTGCGTGTATGTATGTTTGTGTGAGTGTGTCAGATACCTTAGAACTGGAATTATAGACAGCTGTGGTCTGCCATGTGGGTGCTGGGAACTGAACCTGGATCCCCTCTACTGCCCCATTGTAGGCTCTTTTAAAGGTATGAAAAAAGCACAGAGGGAAATTGTAGGCTTAGATTTTTTTCAAAAAACCTAAGTGCTTTAATCTCCCTTCTAGCCCACCACCCACCAGAGGTCGTGCAAAAGAAAGGTTACTAGGTAAGTGAGCCTATTCAGAAATAGTTCTTAGGGTGATTCCAATCTTTGTCAGCATATCAGCAGCTCAGTCTACCAGCAAGCTACCACACACCAATCAGCAGATGCAGTTCAGTCTACTCGGCAGACGCCACACATGACTTCAGCAGCCGTAGTTGGATCCACAATAAATGGAGAGGCTCTGCTGGATCGGTGCGGGAGTCTGTGGAAATGGCCAGAAGCCGCCGGAATGTCATGAGAAGTTGTTGGCGAGTTACTCTCTGTTAAGATCAGTGACAAGCAAAGATCAGCAACGTGGTGCAAGGCCAACCAGAGCCAGAATGTTCTCAATGGAGACGAGCGAGGTGCAAGCTGAGCCAAAGCACAAGCCTTGTCCCACTGTCATGGGGTCATATTTATATTCTTTCTAAATATCACAATCCTCTCACGTGTCTGCTTCAGTAAAACATCCTCTCACCTGTCTGCCCCAGCAAAGCATTATCTCCAGAAATTTCCATTCTGGAAATGATCACTTTTTTTTTTTCCCTTTGTCTCTGCTGCTCAGTCTTTTTGGAAGCAGTTGGAGGTGTCTAATATCTCTTTGCAGAGATAATTTTTTAGCAAATGATTTTTAAAAGTTTTAAAATCGATTGGATGTGGTGATGTGTGTCTGTAATCTCAGTATTTAGAAGGCAGACAGGAGGCACTCCTTGAGTTCGGGGTCAGCCTAATCTACATATAGCGTTCCAGACAATTGAGGCTACATAGGGAGACCGTGTCTCAAAAATTAAAATAGAATAAACATCAGGTGTAATAGTGAACGTCTATAACCCAAGCACTTGGAAGTGGTTGCAGGAAGATTAGGAATCAAGGTTATTTTGGCTACATAGCAAGTCCAGGCCAGCTTGGGATATATGAGACTCTGTCGCAAACAAACAAAAAATTTAAAATTTTTATTTTTGAATAAGAAATTCATCTTCAAGGTAAAAAATGGAAAATGCACTGAAAAGAGTTTTCTCAGGTCACCTGCAGTTCTCAACCCTTGTTTCTCTCTTCAGAGACTGTTTCTTGTGGAAATCATAAACATGAGAACATTATTAATGTACAATATGGTGGCATTCCAGCTCCAAACATAATAGACTTATTAGGATAATACATTAAAAATGCTACAAATTACACGTGCAGAAATCTTCAGTTGGTATATATTCAGACAAGCTCCATTGTAGTGGATTCTCTTCCAAATACCACCTGACACAGATACTTTCATAGCTGGTCTTGCTTTTTTTTTTCGAGACAGGGTTTCTCTGTGTAGCCCTGGCTGTCCTGGAACTCACTCTGTAGACCAGGCTGGCCTCGAACTCAGAAATCCGCCTGCCTCTGCCTCCCAAGTGCTGGGATTAAAGGCGTGTGCCATCACCGCCCGGTCCTGGTCTTGCTTTTTAAGAATGATTAAAAAAGGACAAGAATATACCAAACAAAACACGAATGTAATTAATATAAGAACATTTTGATTCTGGAATTTGGGAAGGAAATTATGAATAAAACTATGAAAATTATTTATGAAACCGAAAGTGACCACAAACTCAGCAGGTGCTTGTTATTCCAGTTGAGAGGCTGAGGCAAAAGTTCAGCCTGGACTACATAATCACGTTGAGGTCAATCTGATCTACGTGGTGAGATTCTGTCTCAATAAAAAGAAGCAAAACAAACCCCAAAGCAGTTCTGGGGCATGTTTGAGACACCAAGTTTTGGATTAAGTTGGTTTGTAGCAAGATCTCTGAGGCGCGGTGGGCCTCCAGAGCCCCAGGGGTCGCTGTGGTTTCATCGGGGGAATGGCTGAGTCTCTGTGGTTGGAAAGTTGGGGGAGGAGAAGCTGAGAGCGGCTGTAATGATGGCTGATGAAGAGGAAGAAGCGAAGCACGTCTTTCAGAAATTGCAGGTGAGGCTGTGAGTTAAAATCTTTGGCTCGTTTCTCTGAAGTGCAGTGGTCAGGGCCGGGGCGGCGGAGGGCGGCGGCTCAGCCGGTGCTGAGGACTGCTCGGTGGGCGCCGGGAGGGAGTCTGCCCACCCGGTTCCTCGGTAACAAGTAGCTTTGTACGTGGTGTGGCAGGTGGCTCCCGACTGTTAACGGAGTTGTTTGTTCTCCACAGCAGCCATTTCTTTAGCATCTTTCTGCTTTGAACTTGGCAACATTCAGACTGCAGAGCGAAAGCCTTGGTTGATGGTTTTAGGATTTACAGTGTTAATCTCTTAACCCCACCCACTCCCCAGGTGATTATGGTAGAAAAGCAGAGACGACTTTCCTGTAAGTTTGTGTTGTATCTGTATTTTTGTTTTAATGATTAAGATTTTCTTTAAGCCCCAGAAACTCAGTTTGTGGTCTAAGACACCCTGGAATTTAAACTAGATATACTTCTATCAATTTTGTTTGTTGTTTTGAGACAGGGTCTCCTGGAACTGGCTGTAAAGGCCACGCTGGCCTCGAACTCATAACGATCCACTTATCTCTGTCTCCCAAGTGTTGAGATTAAAAGCCTGAGCCACTATGCTGGGTCATTTTCTAACAAAATTTAAAGCATTGATCAGGTTTCTTTGTTTCTTGTGGGAGTTAAAAGAACACTCAGAACGTGGACTTTGATTAACTTTATTTCTTAGTGTGATTGGCAGAAATCAGATTTTTAATCCTATCAGCAGTGAGACTTTAGATGCACTATGTACATTTATATATATAGGAAAAAATACAAAACGTTATACAGAATAGTATTTGTCCTTGAGGCTATTTGGAGTGGTCATGAATCACTTCCTATTTTCACGTTTTCTTACTCATTAACAATTCATTTGTATTGCTGTCGCCACCACAGAAAATTGTTCAGCAAAATAAAAACGAATAAAACACCAACAGGAACACTTTGTTTTAAATTTGCAGCCATGCTTATTGCGTGACAAAAAGAAACTGGCTGTGACTTTTGCTTAGACCTCTCTTTTAAAAATTCCACAAACTGTGTTCCACAGACCGTGTTGACGATTTGTTTCTTTTTATTATAGAATAGAGTTGAACATGCTCACTTCATGTGCTCAAATCAGTCTCTGCAGGACTTGTTTTTCCTGG